AAGACTTGGTGGCTGCCAACAGAGCTTGCATCGCCCGGGCTCTGAGCACGAGCGTTCAACTTTAGAGCTTGGTCAAGGACCTCGACGCTAGGAGGGGGGATCTGGCTAAGCGCCTAGAGGAGGCGATGCAGTACAGGGATGTGGTGCGAGCCGCCCAGGCAAAGGCAGAGGAGGCGAGGCAAGAACGGAGGGCCAGCTGGCGAGGTCCAATGCAGAGGTAGAGCGGTTGAAGAAGGAGCTACATGAAGTGGAGTGCTAGGTGGCTGTTATGACGAGGAGGATTGATCATGCTAATGAGCACCATCGGCTCGCCACTAAGGCTCTGGAGGCCTCCAACAAAGAGAATGCCGAGCTGAGGCAACGGCGGAGGCCCAGGCCGAGGAGATCAAATCTCTGAAGGCCGAGGTAAAGGCGGCAGGGGAGTCAGCAGTACAGAACTTCATCGATCACTTTGAAGGGCATCCGTTGTGCGACGACTTTGCCAACTTCTGGGCCTCGTGGAATGCCCAAGCAATGTTGGATCGCCTAAGGGAGGTCCACCCTACTCTGGACTTAACTTATTTGGAAGCGGAGTTCGGTGGACCTACCAGGGGTCATCTGACAGGGTCGTCGAGGAAGCTACTGAAGCCCCTCCAGAGGTTGAGTCGGAGGCCAAGACCGAAGCCCCCAGAGTAGAATAGGAATACATTGTAATGACTTCGGCCCTCATTTTGTAACTTGTTTTGATATTAATGAGATCAAAGTTTTCCCAAGTGTTGTTGCTCCTTCTTACTTTACTTTTACGTCGAACTGTTTCTATCTTGATGAGTAATGGATAAATAAACATTAAGTATCACTTACCTGAGTAACCAATTGGCGACAAAGATTGACACATAGAATCCACTAAAGAACTGAGGCGCCAATTGATTAACCCATATAACAGAGTGGACGATTGAGTCGTTACATTATATTTTACTAAGGCAATTCCAGCACTTAGTGATAAGTGTATTTTTGCACACTTATTGGACACTTAATTTGATATAATTATTGATTAAATGAATGAAATTTTACTCACAATTGTGTAATATTCGCTTTTTAGGCTAAAAATCACTTAAGTAAAGAGAACAAGGCAAAAGATGAAAAAATGGACTAAAAGCGTGCAACATTTGTGATGTGGGGGGGACCAAAATGCATGTGTCAAAAGTGGAGGAATTGTGCTTCAATTTATGGAGGGCATAATCGAAATGAAAGTCAAAATCTAGGGACCAGATTTACAAGATCAAAAGTTGAGGGACTTGGCATGCAAAAAATTGAGGGAGCTGGATATTCTAGGACGCAGCTTCTGCCTGAGACGATTCTGCTTCTTCTTTCTTTCATTTTCTTTTCTTTTCATTTTCTTTTCTTTTGTTTTGCTTGGTATTTTGGAGATTCAATATAGAACAACAAGGAGATTACATCAAGAATTTGGCTAAGCTCTTGGAGAATCAAGTTGATGCTTCAAAAAAGGGTTTTATCTATAAACTTGTATTTTCACAATTATTTTGTCATATTTGTAATGTATTGCTATAAACATTCTCCTTTCCATCATATGTATAAAATGGGCTAAGTATTTCGTTGGGATTTATGGTAGTAGTTTGACCTAGGTTTAATTGATTTTCAATATTTGCTATTTGATATTAAATTGCCTATTTCCATGTGTTTCTACTATTGTATTTATTGTATTTTCATTTATGTGGTCAATGAATGAATATGTTTCGTGAAGTGTACATAGTTCGAGAGAAGTTGTGCATTTTAGATCAAATAATAGAAACCCTAGGTTTGTGTAGAGGATAGATATATACATTTAGCCCTAGGTGACCCAATGAGCTATTTTCATAACAATTTAATGCGGTTGTTTGATTGTAATCGACATAGAGATATAGTAGGTTAAACCAATCAATTAGGGTTAATTTCACTCGAGAGAGGTAATTAGCTAAAATTGGAAAATCGGGCCTAACATCGTAAATGAGCAATTCGTTAATTGACATGTGGAGAAATTAATTAGGCGACGGTTAAACAAAACCAAGAATCCCAACCACGTTTTCCTCCAAAATTCCCAAGATTTCCATATTTTCTTAGTTTGTATGTTTTTTTTCCTTAGTTTCTAAAATCAACTTTTTATTGTGTGTTTGTTTATTTTCATTGTTAGAATTAAATTGATTAAAGTTGTGTAATTTAAAGTAAACATTCCTCAAAGGATTGTCAATCTGGACTTAAAAGGTCCACTTTATTACTTGAACGCAACCCGTGCACTTGCAGTAATATTTTAGCGAACATTTAGCAAGATAGGAATGTTAAAATTGACTGAATAATATGGAGATCTGATCAAAACATACACATCACTGATAGTATTTTCTCAAGTGTTCAATGTTCCATTGATGAGGCAGTACCTTCTCTGCCATGTCTTCTATTTCATAAGTGTCGAGTCGGGACTCTTTACGGATGCGATAAGGTCCTTCCCAGTTCGGTCCAAACACTCCTGACCCAGTCGACTTTGATGATTGGAAGACCCTTCTAAGGACGAGGTCCCCCAAACGGAGAGCTCGATTTCTAACCTTAGAGTTATAATAACGGGTCATCTTTCTTTGATACTTTGCCAATTTTATTTGAGAAGAATCCCTCATTTCTTCAAGGAGGTGAAGTTCGTGCACTCGAGATTCGTCGTTGTCGATTTCAGTGAAATGTATTCGATGATGGGAGGGGACACCCACCTCGACAAGACTCATGGCTTCAGATCCGTAGGTCATGGAGAAGGGTGTCTTACCTGTTGCAGTTCGATTGGTTGTTCGAATCGCCCAGAGGACATAGGAAAGTTCATTGACCCACACCCCTTTTGAGGCATCAAGCTTTCTTTTCAGGGTATGCTTGATAGTTTTGTTCACTACCTCAACCTGCCCGTTTGCTTGGGGGTGATGAGGTATTGAGAAGTCCTTCCTTATACTGAGTTCGTCACATAAGTCTCGCATCTTTTTGTTATCGAACTATCTGCCATTATTAGATACTAGAGAGTGGGAAATGCCAAACCTGCAAATGATATTTTTCCAAACGAACTTTATGGTGTTCACTTCAGTGATTTTTGCTAGAGGTTCAGCTTCCACTCACTTGGTGAAGTAGTCAATGGCAACAATGGCAAAAGTAGCGATTCCTCTTCCTTTTGGTAGTGGACCAATGAAGTCTATGCCCCACTTGGCGAACGGCCACGGACTGGTGATCACGGAGAGGCTTTGAGAAGGCTACCTTTGAATGTCTAAAAAACATTGGCACTTGTCACATTTTTTAACAAACTGGTAAGAGTCCCTTTTCAAGGTCGGCCAGAAGTAGCCTTGTCGAAGAACTTTGTGTGCCAAAGCTGTTCCTCCGCAGTAGTTACCGCAAACTCCCTCATGGATCTCCCTGAGTATGTACATGGCTTCTTCCCCTCCCACGCATCAAAGAAGTGGCGAGACGAAGCCCTTTTTGTAGAGCACATCGTCCTGGAGAACAAAGTGAGTAGCCCTCCTTCTCAATTTCTTTGCCTCGCTTTTCGAGGCTGGCAGCGACTGATTTTTGAGGTAGGCTACGATGGGTTACATCTAAAGTGGGCAATCCATAATACCTCTTCACCTCCAGAGATGGAAGGCTTCGGCAGGCGCTCAATTGGGACAATTTTTAGCAACTCTGAATCCCTGCTGCTCGCCAACTTGGACAGGGCATCAGCGTGTGTATTTTTGAGGTGTGGGACTTGAATCAGTTCGAATCTCTCGAAGTGAGGGACCAGGTTCATAACCAATTTCAGATATGTAGCCATGCCACTGTCTTTGGCTGCAAACTTTTCGTTGACCTGACTTACCACAAGCTTCGAGTCGCTATTTTCTAGGAGCTTTTTCACTTGCATTTCTTTCACTAGTCTAAGGCCCGCTAGGAGGGCCTCATATTTTGCAGCGTTGTTCCAAACTTTGAAGCCGAACTTGACTGCACAATTTTGCTTGTGGCCCTCTAGACTCTCCAAAACAACTCTTGCTCCGGAACCAGTCTCTCATGACAATCCATCCACAAATAGGCTCCATGTTGGGGGCTCGAATGGTTCCATTGTTGCTTCCATTTCTGGGGCTTTGGCAAACTCTGCCACAAAATCTGCGAGGGCTTGGCCCTTGATGGCGCTTCGGGGTCGAAAAAGCAGGTCGAACTCGCTGAACTCGATTGCCCATTTTAGTAAACAGCCCGAAGCGTCTGTGCTTTGCAATACTGGTTTCAAGGAGAAGTTGGTGAGAACTTCAATTGAATGGGTATAGAAGTATGGCCTCAATTTCCTCGATGTTGTAACTAGGGAGAGTGCGAGTTTCTCCATATCTGGGTAGCGTGCCTCTGTTGGGAGCAGTGCCTTGCTAATATAATACATCGGTAGTTGATACGTGTTTTTCTCTCTGATAAGGACTGCGCTGATAGTCTCGTCTAAGATTGCCAAGTACAGCAGCAGTGGTTCTCGTGGTTGAGGCTTGGATAGTAGGGGTGCCTCTCCCAGGTGCTTCTTCAGCGTTTGGAAGGCTTCCTTGCATTCGCTTGTCCATTGAAATTTCTTTCCTTGCTTCAAGACTTTGAAGAATGATAGGCTCTTGTCAGTAGCCCTGAAAATGAAGCGACTGAGCGCGGCTATTCGGCCATTGAGGCTTTGTACTTCCTTTAGCTTCTGAGGTGACCTCATTTCTAGTAGGGCCCTTATCTTTTCTGGATTTTCCTCAATTCTCCTTTGGTTCACAATATATCCTAGAAACTGACCCGAAGCTACCCCGAAAGTGCACTTGAAGGGGTTCAATTTCATTTTATACTTTCTAAGAATCCGAAAGGTCCGATCGAGGTGACTTACGTATTCTTTCACCTGGAGGCTTTTAACTAGCATGTTGTCCACGTAGACTTCCATAGTTTTGCCAACGAGTTCGATAAACATCATGTTGACCAGCCTCTGATTTGTGGCTCCGACAGTTTTCAATCCGAAGGGCATTATCTTATAGCAGTACAATCTTGTCTGTGATGAACGATGTGGATTCCTCATCAGGTCGGAACATGGGTATTTGATTGTACCCTAAGTATGCATCCATGAAGCTCAAGAGCTCATGCCCAGCAGTGGAGTCCACTAGTTGGTCTATCCTTATTCTTGGAAGAGGGAAGATGTCCTTAGGACATGCCTTGTTTAGATTTGTGAAGTCTTCGCATACTTTCCATTTCCCGCTGGATTTCTTTACGAGGACCGGGTTGGATATCCACTTCGGGTAGATAGATTCCCTGATGAAGCCGCTGCGGATGAGTTTATTGATTTCTTCTTTGAGCGCCTCATATAGCTCTGAGTTGAGGGCTCGTCTTTTCTGCCGATGTGGGGCGCAAGAGAAGTTGATGTTAAGGTGGTGGCAACTGATTCTTGGGTCTATTCCCAACATATCTTCGTGCTTCCAGGTGAAGACATCCAGGTTCCTTTTCAAGAAGTTCATCATTTCTTCTTTCATCCCGGGGGGTAGTGCTTTCCCTATTCGCAAGACTTGAGTGGGGTCTTCAGGGTTGACGGGGAAAGTTTCCGACTATTCCATTGGAGTCGCATTCAGTTCAGCCTCGATAATTTGGGGGTCCAACTCATTAAGAGGGTATCCTTCTTTAGGGGCCTCCATCATGTCGATGTCTTCCTCCTATTCGTAGGTATGCCCTTATTTAGGGGCGTCGAGCATTTCAATGTCCATGTCAACTTCGTTGTCTGCCTCTGTTATAATGACACTAACAGTGCGGGGCTCGAATTTTCATAGAGAACTGAGGTAATGTGCCCTTGAGCCCATTTGGTCGTCTCGCACTATAGCAATCCCATGCTCAGTTGGGAACTTCATACACAAGTAATGGATGGAGGTGACCGTCCAAAGATCTTTCAATGCAGGTTGGTCCAATACTCCATGGTAAGCTGACCTGTGGTCCACCACTAGGAATTCCATGAAGTGGTGGGCTACTAGGGGGCTGACCCCATCACGACAGGTAGAGTAATTCACCCTCGTAGGACGATGCTGTCGTCAGTAAATCCAAATAGTGGACCGGTCATGGGGATCAATCCATGTTCAATCTACATTTTATCAAAGGTGGATCCGAACAGTATATTCATCGAGCTGTCATTGTCGACGAGCATGCATTTGAGTCCCTTTTTAGCCACTACGGCTCTTACCACTAACGCATCACAATGGAGGTGGTGAACTCCTTATGCATCTTCTTGAGAGAAAGTGATCGGGGCCATCCTATTGGCCTCTTGGGTATGGTTGACGATGTGAGTAATCATTGGTGGATCCTTTGCTTTCCTTGTGTAATTCCTCTGGGCGTTCCTAGTGTTGCCCCTGATGTGAGGTCTTTCAATGATTGTGTTAATTTCCCTAATAACTTGGCCTCCAGATGGGGCCTGGTACCTATGCCTGGGTTCTCCTCTGTCTCTAGTTTCTCTCCTCCGGGGTGATTGATCTCTAGATCGCCCTTCTCCCCTATTCGAGGAGGTGGGCCTGTGGGTGTATTCACCCCTTTCCGAGGAGTGTGGGTTACTCTAGTTCGAGGATCGAGGAGCATCCCTACATTCGCTGGTGTCGTGTCCGTAAAGTTGGTGAAAGGTGCAGAACATTGCCCCTTCCAGGGGCCTGTTTATAGCTTCTTCTTCTTTCGATGGTTTGTTCTTCCGGATGGTCCTGCTTTAGCAGAAGCATTTTCGTATGCTAGCAATGGCACTGCATTTAGCGTGACGAAAGTCAACGCTTGTCCGGACATGGGAGCTATTGTGTGTCCTACTTAGGTCCATTGCCGGGTGATGAGGTGGGCTGCTGGTCCTCAACCTACCTACCTCTGAGACGGAGGGAGTCCCTGTACTGCACGATTTTGGTGGTCAATCATCTCTTCATTGACGATCTCGACCCTCATCATTTCTACCAGTTCGTCATAGTTGGTGGGATTTTTATTGCGTACATCCCTCCAGAACAGTGTGTTTATGTTGAGGCCACCTTTCAAGGCTGAAAGGACCTCCTTATTAGTCACTTGCTTGCAGTACGTGATTCATCAGTGAATCTGGCGAGATAGCTTTTCAGCGTCTCGCCAGGAGCTTGCCTCATATCTTGTTGGTGTTGTACTGGGGCCTCCCCTTCCCTTCGTGATGCTGGTTCAGAAATGTCTTCTTCAAGTTCGGCCAGCTTCTGATGCTCAGGGGTGGTATTGTATTGTACCACACTTCAGCAGCTCTAGTGAGGGTAAGATGGAAGGCTCTACATCTCAGTGCCGACGAGGCTCATCTGCGTCATGCATTTAGTCATGTGTTTCTATGGGTCCCCCTTTCCTTTATACTTTGAGATTTTAGGGGGCATGAAGTTTGCAGGCATTGGGAAGTTTCGAATTTCTCTGGAGAAGGGGAGGTTGTCGTCATCGTCATCAATTTCGTAGGAGCGGCATGGCCCTTCAGAGCCTTCCCCTTCTGATGCATTTTGGGGAGGTGGGGGTGCCTCTTCCCGACTACTCTAATCCATTAGGTTTCTCCTCTCGTGCCTATTTCTAGGCAGAGGAGGTACTTGTCCTTGTTCCTGCTCTTGTTGAGCTGATCTTTGCACGGAGCGGACCCTATTGCTAGGGTTCTGCCCTATTTTGTCGAAGACACTGACAGACCTTTGGGGCTCATATTCTGGTGGGAAGTTCTCTCCTAGTGATGGTTCAGCCGGTTGGCTCCCCTGTGCGTAGGATGTGACATCAACACCCACTTCTCTTTCAAGGGGGTGTTCCCAATGCTGACTCGAATGACCTTGGCCATGAGGCACATGAATTTCTTGGGCTGGATATGGCTCTTGATGCATCTAGAAGCCCTGATGACCTCGGACCTGCATGAAGAATTCACGCATCGCGACGTTCTGAGCAGCAATGTCCCTCATTCCAGCAGTTATTTGGGCCTTTCCTTCAGTGAGCGCTGTTGTCCTGTTGCCTCGATGATGCCCGTGATGGGGTCTTTAATGCGTGACATTGGTCTTGATTACCTCTTCTTCAGAGGCATCCCTAGGCTCTTCAAAATTTGTATATTCATTACTATAACTCATCTTGTCCACTCCTTTTTCAAGAGTGTTTAGAGATGAGATCGTAGATTGACCGTTCTATTCTCAAGAACATGCCCTTTTCAGGGTAAGTTAATGGTTTGCCAGTGGTTTTTTTCGATGGAAAATGTGGCACTTTTGGACGGGAAGTTTCTCACAGGCAGCGCCAATCTGTTGACCTCGATATTTGGACCCTCAACGTGGCCAACGGGTAGCTACTCCACGTAATCCTCCCTGCGCACAACAACGCACGGTCAGAAGCACACTGTCGGGACCAGCGGTGGTGGCAGCGGCCGCTTACACTTCGACGATCAAGTCAACGTTGGATGATTAGAGCAGTGCTCTAGTGGTGCAAAAGAGGGGGTGGAGAATATATGTTTTTTAGTATGGAAAGCTAAGTTATAAGAACTTTCATTACCTTTGTCTATTGTTAAACCTTAGATATTTATAGGTGTAGAGTACCGTTGGATATGGGACACGTGTATGCATCTGACGGTGTGAAGCGTCTGCTCATAGGCGTCACTCAACTGCGTCTAGCGTGGGCGGGCAATTAGTTCTTTTGAGTTGAGTTGACATAAAGTTGATGTGTCATGTCAACTAGATCTATGGAGACGTCACATAAAGATCCTGACAGATATGTTTCTGACGGTGGCGACAGAGAAATCTGTTAAGGGAGTGCATCGGGCCCTTCAACGCTTAGGAGTTGAGGGACACTTCGGTTGCTTCATTGGATCTATTCACCTTACAGCGCGTCATGTTGAGGTCGTCAGAAGTTGGCATTGCTCCGGAACCACTTCGGGTGGACGCGTGGAGCTTCAGAAAGTGATGTGACTTTGTGTCAAAGTGGTTGGCATCTCTCCGGAACCACTTCGGGTAGACACATGGAGCTTCGGAGAGTGATGTGACTTTTTCGACGAAGTGGTTTTATTGCTGAAGTGGAAGTGGCTGGCTTAGTTAGGGGCGTAACAATTATCTCGCTCTCTTTCAAGAAATTCAAGTTCTATATAGTGTATGATATTAATCCAACCTTCAGTTACACGTGCAACAACTATCCTCTTAACTTGCCTCCTCTAAAATATATCAGCTTATCTAAAACATTGTCTATTTTAATCTTTTTGCACTAGAAGTTTAACTCAAGCTCCTCAAAACGAACACGATTGTTTTGAAAAATACGATGTTGTAGTTTATGTATGTGTAGTAAAATTGATAGGATATGCCGTATTTTTATGTGTTATTCCTAAGTTCTATGTAACATACAACATATAAAGAAAATAAATAAGTTGAATTTCGACTTAAATAACTTTATAATTTTATCAAATAAATTTAAATCTCGACTCATCACGCTGCCCATTTAATTAAGTTGACTACTTTAAGTAACTAAAAACTATTATAACTTTACCTTTTGGTTGCGTTCGGCATAGGAACTAGATTGCATAAGAAATTTATTATAAAATTATAGTAGATAATATTGGGTAGATGATAATATGGTGGATTAAGGAGAGTATTATTATTTGATTTTTCATTTAAAATAATTTCATTTACACTATTATCAGTATAACATAAAGCAAAGCACCATGATGAATTTAGGACGGATAAAAAAGTATATGATAAAAAACATTCTTTTAAATGGAAATTAAGAGCTTATTTAGGAGTGATTTTTTCCCTCCTAAAAAATTGATTTTTTGACCGTTATTTCACTATTATAATCGTCATATTTGACTTCTTCTCTCATAGATGGGCCCCACTGTTCTTCTAACGATCAAAAAATCAATTCTCAAAATTACTTCCAAACAGACTCTAAATAATATTAACTTCATGTTTGTGCTTACATATTGTAACCGAGTATTCAAAACAACTTTCTCTTTGCATGGTTTTCAAATGACTTCAATTTTAGGTCGAATGCATTTATTTGCTTATACTCAATAATCGCTTATTTTTACAAATAGCGAAAGATTAATCGATTGAAAATTGAAACGCAAATCAAAAGCCGTCTGAATCTTTGACGAAATCCACTAATAGTTCACTCAAATCAGTGATGACTCGTGGCAAATCGTCATTATCCCAAATCAAAACAACTAAAATGCCGGCTAAGCTAAACGATTGAATCCTCAAACAATACTCTTCTTTCTCATTTATAAACTAAACCTCCGTCCGATAAATTTATTAATATTTAAACTTCATTGTTCCTCAACTTTCCTATCACAGTCCACTAAAATCCCCAAAATCACCCTCATTTTGTAGAAATCCCATAGTCAGCGGCGACGCCATTTACGTCATTCTACAATCCCATTAACGATAAATCCTTAGCCTAGCCGGCTTCATATCTTATTTGCCGCCACTTTTTCAGTAGTATCTGTTTTATATCTCATCCACTTTCTCTAACAAACCAACAACTTAAGATTTCGATTACATCTTAAAATTAAAACTCTCTGTGTCTGTCTCAGAGGAGAAACCATGGATGTTTTTGATCAATCTTTGAAGCCAAAGAAGCCTAACCCCCGACAAGTAAAATCAAGATTTCTACCACCAAACTCTATATCGTCACCTGAAAATGGATTCCAATCCCCAAAGAATACTCTTTCTCCACTAAGGCAAAATGGCCGATCATCTACTGATTCCCGAAAGCACAAAAGCCTCGAAAAATCGGGCTTTTTACGAGGGCTTTGGCCGTCATCAACACCATCGCCACCTTCAAAATCTAAACTCAATACACTGGCGGACCACCTTGGAAATGACAGAATAAAAGACCTTAAAGAAAGGAAAAACAGTGAGAAAGCTGATGACTTGATGCTTCTCAATAGGCAAAGAAGTTGCTCCGAGTTTAGCAGGTTTGAAAACGATCAGAAAAAGATTGCTAAAGAAAATCATAAACCGGGTTTTGGAGGATCCATGCGTTACACTGGGAGGTTAAAATTTCCTGGAAGATCAACAAGTTCTTCATCATCCAAGAATTCTACTTCAGTTGACAATCAAAATGATTATATAGCTCCTGGAAGAT